CAATATGAAAGTCAATGAGCTAAAGTTGAAGGCTAAGGTGAATTTTTAGAAATACATAGTTTTACTATGGTTCCAAATTAATAGTGATTCTATAGCCATCAACTTAAAAGAAACTAGAATAAACTCAGGCACAGCAGTCTAGAAATCTTTACCTTTGTCATCACCGCATTGTTGGGAATGTGTTTCTGAAGTACAGCTCCTACTTGCATTCTTTAGGGTCAGATACTGAAGGAAATGGAAGACAGTATTCTGACATGAAAAGGGAAAGTTATAGGATGTGGTGTTTTTTAAAATGTGTTGATGAAATCATTGTAACACTTAAATTATTTTATATATCAACATCATATAATATACCTGCTTTCCCATAAGCTCTGACTTCTCTTTGTATAACTGCTTTACAGTAGTGCTAAGTGAGTGATGTTAAGAGGGTATTGTGTGTTCTCAAGTCCATTTCTCTTTACATTAGCTACATGAGCTTGTGCAATTAACTTCTGTGTGCGTCAGTTGCGTTATCTGTATAATCAGGATGATAACATTACCTACCACAGGGTTTCTGTGGAGACTGAGTTGGTTGTGTGAAACACACAGACTTACACTATCACAGAAAGGATTCTAAATCTTAGCAACTACTTCTATTATGCCCTTGCCTAACATCGACTAAATACTATATGAAGATTTTGTATGTCTTCTACAGTCTTCTGCATGTTGAGTTTTATGTTCATACTATATCCACTATTAAAACAGTCTCATAGCTTACTATTTTCAGTTGTCCTAAAGATTCGTTGTCTATTGAAATGAGAACTGGACCAACAAGGCAAGAAGTTGTGAGAATACTCATAACTCTTCACTGTAGTTATAACCATTTATTCTCATTGACCAAAGACAAATCATTAAAATTCCATAGTTAACTAAAGGTATGACTGATAGAGATAGACAAATTACTACCAAGCAGCAGCAAATGATAAGCATCCATTTCTGGAAATAAACAGTCTATGAGCAGAGAAACAAAATGTGATATGCTTGAATGGAGATCATTAACATGGTCTAATGTGCTCTGATAAAAACAGTTTGGAAACCAGCAAGCTATGTCACAATAAGGAATATATTCTGTACCCCGGGGAGATGGAGAGATAAGATGTGACCTACTTCGCTCATAATGAGGCCACCCCTTGGATAATACTTTGATTTATTGACAAAGAGATGATCCAAAACGGATATATTTTCTGCCCAAGCAATGAAACAAATAATGTCAGTTCCAGTGATGGATCTGCAGGACGGAGACAGCAGTGTTCTTTTGCGAAATAGTAAATGTGACAGTGACATCTATTTTAAATGTGTTTCTGCGGAAGCTGTGTAAACTCTGAAACCTATCATCACCAGCATTTGATAGCCTCATGATAATTAACCAAGCATTTGTGGCTAAAGTCCATTTAAACAATGACAAAACATTAATCCAAATCCCTGTTGAAAGGCTTGGGATATGGCTCCGTAGATAAAGTGCTTGCTGCAAAACATGAGTACCCAAGTTCAGATCCCCAATAAGTGTGAAAAGGTGAAAACCCAAGCATGGTATCAGACATTTGTAACTGCAGTATAAAGAAGGTACAGGCAGAAACAGGTGGATCCCAGTGACTGGTCAGCCAGTCTAGCCCAAAAAATGAATTCCAAGTTCAGAGTAGGGCCTTTTCTCAAAATGAATGAATGAATAAAAGATACAGACTGGTAAACACCTATGTCAACTTCTAGCTGACACATGTTCATTTTGGGGCAAGGTTATCCATGAACACACAGTGTGTATACCACATGCACGAGGGGGAGAGAGAGAGAGGGATGTCTACCAACCAGTGAACATAATGGTTGACAGTGTATTCCAGAGCCGAATTCATTTCGGAAGAGTACAATTGCTTTGTTCCCTTGTAACAACCACCAAATTCAATTTAAATGAACAATCCATTCTTTTTAATCCAGAGTATTTCTTAAATCTTTTGGGGGCATATTTTAGGCATCTTTAATTTGTGGATACTTTACTAATTTTTAAAGGCAAGTAAAGACTAGTTGTTACAAATACAATACTGATGCATATAAACTTTGAGGCAATATGCCTGAATGATAAGATCTTAAATTACTTGGGATCTGTATCTTCAGAACATGTTGTTACACATGAGAATATCCCATTTCTTATCAAGTATGTCTATAAAGCCATGTTTTGGCAATTTCTTTCATCGGTGATATTAGAATGCAGTCTTTTTTAGTTTTATTTCTCATAAGATGTCTCCCACTCCACACAAGCCAGGCCATTTAAAAATGTGGGACCACCGTATTTTAGACCTAAGAGGATCTGAAATGCTTCCTTTTGTTAATGCAGCTCCTCCGTCTTGAAGGGTTGGTACCTATTTCAGTCATCGGCACTGCCTCTCTGCTTTCCTTGCTCCCTCTTCAAAAAGCTGATTGAAACGTAGGACCTCCTAATGCATGGCACAAAATTAAATCACCACTAACTGCTCACTGTGCAGTGTCTATATTCTACCAGCATCCGTTCTCACAAAGTATTTCCAAAGAGAAGTGTGAAACGCAAAGGTGTGAAGGCAAGCTGGCCCTTCAGAGTCTCCCACCATACACATCACCGCACTAGCCCTGTGTGCAGAGGTCGGTCAAAGCGGAGGGCACTTCCTTTCGAGTGTTTAAATTTCTCCTTAAAAATAATACTGAGGTGCTTAAAAAAAAAAAAAGCACTCAAGGTACAAAGTGTCGGGCATGATAAACACTGTGCATGTGCACACAGAGCCACACACACTCGGCCACCCAGCTGCTAAAGAGCTTATCTTGCTTAGAATCAGACTCATGTTGCAAAGTTTCATTCCAAAACAAATAAATTTATTTCTATTTCTTATTTGCCTTTGTGGTATTATAATTCATCATATAACGCTAATCGGAGCCAATGATTGCCCAAAGGATTAAGCTAATTCCTTTCCTTGACATTAGTTAAAGCTAATTTAAACACCGTTATCAAGGGACCCCATGTCAGTGACTGAGCTAAATTTTATTTCCTGAGCTTCATTTGCAAATATCGAGTCTTATGTTCTCCAGATTCATAGACTAAAATATGTATGTTTACAAAAGGATAAGTTCCTCACAAAATCTGGTGAACTATTTATTACTCGGTATGTTATGATCTCTCCAGTGTGAAGTTAAGGCTTTGATGCCTACATGTTAACACTAAACTTTTTCCTTTATTTTAATTCATGGCTCATCCGTAATCATGGAGGTAGCTCAAGGATATGGGACATGCTCAGCATATTCTAGGCCCAGGGTTCCATCCACACTCAAAAAGGGATCAGCCTATTCCCTTTTTTAATTACATTTTCTTTATTTAGGGGGCAAGGGCACATGCCAGGGCACAACCTTTAGGAGTTTGTTCTCTCCCTCCACCCTGTGGGTCTCAGGAATTAAACCCAGGTCCTCGGGCTTGGCTGCAAGAGCCTTTCCCAGGGAGCCATCTCACTGGCAGAAGTCAGCCTATTTCAGGGAAATATGTACTTCCTTTTCTTTTGGTAGCACCTCAATCCTTAATTATTTCTTTCTGAGGATTTCTATAAATAGATCCTCTAAGATAGAGTTTGACTTAGAAAACAATTGTGTGAGTATGCTAGTGTTTCAAAATAAAAACTTGGGGCTGGAGAAGTGGCTAAGGTACTTACTGATATTGCAGTGAACCAGAGTTTAGTTCCCAGAACCCACATGGTGTGTGGCTCACATCTGTCTGTAACTGAAACTCCAGGTGATCCAGAGCTTTTTCTGCCCTCCTTGGCTCTGAGTAGCTACACACACACACACACACACACACACACTCACTCGAATGTGCACACAAACACATATTCACTCACATGTGCACACACACACATGCATGCACTCACATGTTCACACATTCACAAGTGAACACACACGATTATGTGTACATTTACATATATACACACATACTTAGTCACATGTGCACACACATAATAAATGAAGAACTTAACCTTGCTCTGGCTGGTTTCCTCTCTTTTGCTTTACTGTACACTTTGGTGAGTCCAATCAAAGCTCCAACCTCTACAATGCCAGCCTTTCAATAATGTCCAAATTTTCTCACCTTTAATACCATAACTGTGTATTTTAAAATGATTCATGCTTAAATAAAACTTGGGATGTATAACCATAAAGGAAATCTTTCCAGGCTTTTTAATTAACTTTTAAGATCTGAATAATACCAGTATGAGACTCCCAACATTGTAAAAGGCTAGTTTCTGTTTAGATCTTTAAAATGGGCCAGCAGTCTGCACACAAGACTCAGTGGGTTGGCAGCTGTCACCCTGCTTTAGAGAAGGCAGGCAGGGGGCAGGGTGGGGCTGATACTGCTTTAACACCTGCAAAGGCTAGAGCAGGGCACACACTGAGGTGTGGCAAGTGGGGAGTGGCTGGCTGTGTGTGGAGATGACCTCCAGATGGGTTGCTCCTTTTCCTGCAGGCGGGTCAATGACAAACTGAACCAAACCAACTGGTGGTGACTTCTGTGGTGTTGCTGCTCATGGTCTTCAGGGTTGCCTAGGACTCAGCTTATGGTTTGGCTCATTTCATCCGAGGTCCTTCATGAAGCTTCCGTCTATGACAGGTGGAGCTGGAATGGGGCACAGCTACTTCATGCAGAAGCCTGAGCTCAACTGGGACCTTGGGACAACCAATCCTCTCCTTCAAGTGACTCCTCAGTGTGGTCTCTCCATCACTCTGGCTGTCACTCAGGAAATTACAAGCACAAAGGGTGGAAGCTGCAAGGCCACCTTACTTCCAGAGCACATTTGCTACATGCTCTTGGATGAACTGAATCACAGCATCCGCTCAGGTTCAGTCTGAGAAGAAATGCAGTCTGAGGCATTGAGGCTATCTTTAAAGTTAGCCACTTACTATAATGATTAAATTATTCTTCTTTCCATTAAAACACCAATTTCTCCCCCACTCTTTTCTAGTTCCTTGTGTCTCTGGTGGTTTGCCTAAACCTACAAATATCACCTTCTCATCTATCAACATGAAGAATGTGCTGCATTGGAATCCACCAGAGGGTCTACGTGGAGTTGAAGTCACATACACTGTGCAGTATTTCATGTAAGTTGCTTCTTTCCCTTGCAAAAAATTTATAAACACAAGACTCAGACTCCTGTTAATTATGCAAAAGTAAACTTTCTATGGCATTAAGTTCTTTGAAAAAGAATAGTTTGGACATTTTCTATTTCTTTGATGTTATAATAAATTATAAAGTGGTTATTTTGTGGAGCCAGATTCATTGAACATTCAGGCAAGAGATTAAGGCGTACTTAACAAAATTGGAAAGAGGGCCAGTGAGATGGTTCAGCGGGTTAAAGAATTTGCCAGCAAGCCTGAGGGACCTGAATTCCATTCTTGTGATCACATGCTGGAAGGAGAGAATTAACTCCAGCAAGCTGTCCTCTTCCACCCACATGTGTACTGTGGTACGTGCATGGGCATGTTTGCACACACTAGTCACGTGCATATGCACACAGAATGGATAGCAAGTAAAATGAGCAAAGAAAAGAAGGGTAAAGAGGTAGTCTCTGGGTAAGCAAACAAGGCAGTTTACCAACTCCAAGACCTCTAAGCTTTTGGAAACGATCTTAGGTCAAATGGGACAGAATTCTATACAATGGTTTGTTTATCTTAAACACAGCAGCAAATGGACACTTTTCACTTTCTCTTTAAGACTCTTCACAGGCAAGAAAGAATGCAAAATAGACACAGTATCCATCTCCAGAGCCTAAAGGAAAAGGATATAAGCCAGACCCCCAACTGTGAAGCAAGCAAACCAAATCCTATAGAACCCAGAGTGAAACAACCACAAATGTCAAAAGCAAACCAGAACTTAAAAATAAGAACTGCTTTTTATTTATTGTACGGTTGAGTTTTCCCTTATTTATGTGTGATTTGCATATGTGCGTGTCTGTATGAGTGCATGCCTAATGTGTGTAGATACCCATAAAAGCCGGAAGAGGTTCTAGATCACCTGGAGCTGGAGTTTTCCAGCCCCTGGTGTGGGTAGAAACCTCTGGAAGAATTGCGAGTGCTCTTAATCACTGAGTAGTCTCTCCAGCCAGTCTCATATCTGTACCTCTTGAGCTCTGTGAGTGAAAGTAACTGATGAGACGGCCCCAAGGAGCCACAGTGTGGTGCCACAGAATGTCACAGGAAGGGGAGCTGAAGTGACAGTGCAGTGACAACTCTAGAGTAAGAGAGGTGCAGGAAGTGTCATGAGATACATCAGCCCCCAGGAAGGCGTCCAGGAGCAAAGTCAGGCAGCGGCTCCAGCAGAGGGGATAACAGATCTGATAAACAAGTATTCCACATAAGTTTAAAATTCTCCACAGAACAAGCTCATCACCTGACTCCCACTCCCACACCTCAGACTTTTAGACGTTATTTTGCTTGGGCTTGGATGACGCTTCTTTTGCTGGTTTCGTTTGGGATCTTTCACACAACTGTTGTTAGTGTGTGACAGATGAGGCTTGCCCTATTAGCCAATAGGTGATCACACTCAAAGAAACTAGGATAGTACCTACCTGCTGTGGAACAATCGTTTTTTGTGCGCTGTGAGTGTGTATTACTCTCACTCGCTAATAAAGAGCTAATGGCCTATAGCTAGGCAGGGCTTGAGGGAAAAGGGTGGAGTCATGGGGATCTGAGGAGTTACCAGAAGACAGAGAAAAGTGAAAATGAACATGCCACATGCCGGGCTGAGATAAGATACCAAGCTACATGGTAGAACACAAATAGAAATATAGGTTAACTAAAGTTTTAAGAGCTAGTTACTAACAAGTCTAAGCTATTGGCCGAGCATTTATAATTCATAATATTAACTCTCTGTGCTATTATTTGGAAGCCTACTGCAGGGACACTGAGAAACTCCTCCTACACCTACCCATGATTATTGAGAAGGAAAGAGGAAACTGAATTCGAATAAAAAGCTCTTCCCAGACCTTTCCCATGGGAATAAGAGAAGAATTTGTAGAGTAATGGTCTGTGCTGTTTAATTAAAAATAGATAAACAGCACAATCTTTTCTGTTTGCTCATTCTTGTTTTTGAGATAGGGCCTCATGTAACCCAGGCTAGCCTCTGACTTTCAATATAGCTGAGGGTAACTTTGAACTCCTAATTTCTCTATCTAGCACCCAAGAGCCAGGATGACAGAAATGTACTGAAAACCCAGTTTGTATATATATTTTTCTAGACTGACTGGTGATAGAACGTATGACTAGTACTTCCTTGTTTGCTTGGCATCTATGAGGAATTGTTTCTGGACCATTCACAGATGCACCAGACCTCTCTATAAGATGACATGGCATTTGCCTATGATCTGCACACAACCTCCTATACCCTCTAAGCCACCCTCTGTATCATTATGATACATACTACCAGCATAAAAGCTATCAAAGTACTGCCATCTAACAGATGTTCAGTAAAGATGCAATTCCTCCTCCGTTTCCAATCCACAGTTGGATGAGTCTACAAAGGCGGAACCCGTGAACACCAAGAATCAACTTTGCATCATCATTTTAATAACTAACTTTTCAGTAGTCTTCAAAACCATCTTCTTCACTTAGGTCATAAGGAACTAATATTTCTCACAGTGACAGAACACTTGAACTCCAGCACTTCTGTTCATTTTACCTCATTTCTTTTTATTAAGATTCAAATCAAGTAAAAATCACTGTTTTATTGGAAATGTGCTTCAGGTATGATTTCTGTCTATGTGGTTGTCTAATCACCTTTCTTCCTGTGAGTAGGATAACATGCCCAGCATCATTTACACTAAATATTTCTGGCTAATGAGCTGTGGGGTAATTTATTTCTCCCTTGGTTATACTTCTTGAATTGTATGATGGTCTGAACATTTAAAAACTTGCACCACATTTGCAAAAGAGAATGACCATTTTTGTCCTTGGAAAAGGAATTCTGACCACTAAAGCCAGGAGGTGGGTAACTTCAGGAAATACTCTTGATGGCCATTGTCTAGAACCCCATTCTCATTTTCAAGGATGGACTCAGAAGCTGGTGTTTAAAGCAAGACTTCAGCTTGGCAGAGAGCAATGGCTCACCAGCATGTCCTCACTCCTCCTTCCATTAGGTGGGGCAAAGAGCTCTCTCTATCCTTCAGGCTTCCAAGGGTTCAGAAAGAACATTAAAAAATAACTAGGACCATCACAGCTGCATGAGAATGATTAAGTTGTACTGTGCAAATTTTTAAAATGAATTCTTAAAAAGACATTTGCCCCATGGGAGTTCTGACATGCCTGGGTGTATACCAGGTAGGCAGGAACATGGGGTGCAGTGCTAGAGTCAGACAGTCCCGGGTTCGTGGCCAAGCGGTGAACCCAGCTGAGGGGCCTTGAGCAGGCTACACACTATCATACTGTTTAGTGAGGTTTGTTTCCAGAGTGAAATGTTGAAAGTTTCAATTATACCCACAAAATAACTTAATATAGAAAATGGTATAGCACCCAAATCACCAGCTTTGCACTGGGGAAAGTGATTCTAGTTCCAGAGAGACCTTTTTCCACTTCTGCAAACTTGACTGGATCCCTTACCTTTACTGAGTTTCAGTTTCCCGCTCTGTGGAAATGGGACAAGCACAACCAAGCCCACTTCCTGGGCTTGCTACACAAGGCGGAATGTGTAAGCTTGTCTCAGCTCATCCCGGGCACTCACTCATAGGCGCTTGTTATGCTTACTAGAAACAAACCAGCAAGCCCCCAACAAGATTTGTCCTATAGGAGATTATCGTTACTGGAATTTCTGTCAAATCTCCCATTCAGATATCAGTAGCAGGCATTTTCTTCTTGGTTAGCATCTGCATGGTAAGAAGATGCTCTGCCCTTGGTGGAGTGATGCAATTTACAAAAGGGAACACAAAGGAGGCAATGACAGAATTTTTCCAACTTCAAGTCAAGACCCAGCCCTAACACCTGGAAGGTAGAAGCAGGAGGATCAGGAGTTCAAGTTTATTGTCAGCTACATAGTGAGTTCAAGACTAACCTGGATCATATGAGGCCCCCATCTCAAAAGGTCAAAACCAAAACAATAAAATGAAATTGAAAAGTAGATCAGTTTTGAGTAACATAAATAGTCTCTTTTAGCCGGGCGTTAGTGGTGCACGCCTTTAATCCCAGTACTCAGGAGGCAGAGGCAGGCAGATCTTTGTGAGTTTGAGGCCAGCCTGGTCTACAGAGCTAGTTCCAGAACAGGTTCAAAAACAATGCAGAGATAAATCCTGTCTCAAAAAAAAAAAAATAGTTTCTTTAATGGAAAGAAACAGAATGGTATGCAGTGGTAAACAACCAAATGCACACTAAGCAGAGAAGTTTGGGTATAATCTGGTAAGCCTGTTTCTATGTGTTAGATAGTATATTTTGTGAACTGAATCACTATTTGTAATTTACTATATGTAAATATAGATCCATTTTTCTTTTCGTCATTGATCAGAAAGTCCCCAGGCACTCTTGATAATCTGCAAGGAGAAGCTGATTAAGATCTGGCTATATTCCTAACATCTTTTGGCAGATGTGGCATTTATGAAATGAAAGAGATTTGCTTTGGAACTCTGTTGCTACATCTTTTGCCGATTTTGGCACTATGCAATAATGTTGCTAAATCCTCCTTATCAAGACATACTCTTCCTGTGCGTTTCATGATGAATGTTTCTCCACTCCCAGCTTTTGCTGCCATTTCCAAGTCTATTTTGTGGCCACCTTAATGCTCCTGAAGTTTTAATCCACACTTTGTTGGATTTCTGCCTAAGCCATCTGTGTATTGACTCCCAAATCACTACCTCCCACTCACAGCTCTCTCCTGAACCGCGAGCTCATTTGGCGAACTCTGACCTACCTCAAATGCTGCCTGCTACTACTGAATTTTCCCTCCTATCCTTCCCCTCCCCAATTTCCCAAACACATTCTTATCTGATGATCTTTATCTTGTAAATCATATTCCATGTTCTTGCCCTAAACAGGAAGAGATGTTTCATCATCTTTCCTGTATGATCTCATGCATGTACTCAATCACTTGCACTTGGTCTTGGTCTTGGCTCCTTTTTTTTTTTTTTTTTTTTTTTTTTTTTGTCATGTCCTCATTCACTCCACTACCACCCTTGTCCACACCACTTACATCTGGACCACAGTAGTGTCCTCCAAACTGCTCCCTAGATTGCTATCACCAGCACAATGGGGACAACTGGTCAACCTTCTAAACCGTGCCTTTCATCTTATCCCTCGAAGATCTGCTCTAATCCCTTCAGTTGCCTCCAGTACAATCCTTTCTCCTCAACTGACCTATCAATTGACTGAAATTTTTATGCTGCAGTCTCTATTACCTGAGAAGTGTTGAAAGTATTTACCTCCTCCCCATTTTCTTTGGGTGTTGTATTTTAACAACAACAAAAATATGAACAACCTACTCAATCCCATAGCAACACAGTATGGTACACTCTCACATGCTGCATCCTAGTAAAGTTTCTCCAGACTCTTAATACTTAGAAAAGCTATAAATTTTATGAGATTGTTAAAGAAAGTAATTTATCTTCCAATAAAAAGGTTAATTTTCCTTTGATGCATCCATCAAACTAACCACATGTATGTGTAGGTAAACTAAAAACTTAATTACTAGAGATTGATCACACAGTATATAAAAATACCGTTGTTGAAATTATAACATGCTTTTTGCATGCACCATCCACATTATAATTCACAGAAAAGCAAGGTGTTTATAGAAACTCTGACTCATGCCCCTGACAGCTAATAAGAATATCAACAGCAGCAAAGGGGGGAAAGAAGGGCCTTCGTTCACTTTTATATAATGACTTTTTAAGATTGTAAAGCATATTAGGGACCTCATTATTAATCATGGCTTTTTTCTTAACAGATATGGGCAGAAGCAATGGCTGAGTGTATCTGAGTGTAGAAACATCAGCAGGACCTACTGCGATCTTTCTGCTGAGACTTCAGACTATGAGCATCAGTACTATGCCAAGGTGAAGGCCATTTGGGAAACCAAGTGTTCTGAATGGGCTGAAACGGGACGGTTCTATCCGTTCTTAGAAAGTGAGTAATGCCACTGTCTGCTAAGCATGTACTCATCTGGATTCCTGTCGTGATACTCTGGCCTCATAGGCAACTTTGTCCAGAGAAAAGTATCTGCTTGACTCTGGTCTGTAAAGTAGGTAGAATGCCCAGCCCTGGTGTTTCATGAGGGTGAACCCAGAGCCAAATCTGTAGATTGATAGATTTGGCCAAAGCATCTTTAAGGTCTCTCTCAGATTCAGAACTAAAGACAGGTGCCAATAATACCAAACTTTGATTTGTTTTATCACAGGGAAAGCTTTGCATTAAAAAATACATTGTGGGTTAGTCAATCACTTATATGCACCTGGAAAATGATATGGCACCCTGATTGTACAACCAAATCTCTTTTTTTTTATTAAACCTCATATCGTGCTATTGTTCTAGGTGTAACTCAGAATTCAGGCAAGAATATTCATGGTATTTGCTTTTTTTTTTTTTTTTTTTTTTTGCAATTTTTTGCAAGTTTTTTCCTTCCCTTGATACATGACTGAGCCAACCATGAAGGATGCAGTCAGGGCCACCATAATGAAACACCCAAGGGCTGCAAAGGTTCCAGGAGATGGTATCTTTTCCAGGGGTCTGCCAGGTCAGAGGATGGTAACCCACGCCCTCAGATCAGATCCAGCTCCTCTGTTTTTCAACAGACATGAGCTATTTATATTTGACATGTGAAAATGATATGAAATTTAGATTTTATTGTCAGGGGCTGGAATAATGACTCAGCAGTAAAGAGCACATGTTACTCTTTGCAGAGGACTTGGGTTTAGTTGTCAGCAGTCATATGGCTCACAACCACATCTAACTCCAGAGTCAGACACCCTCTTCTCGCTCCCACTGATAATGCATGCAATGTGGTACACAGACATACATGCAGGCAAAACACCCATACACAAAATAAAAATAAATAAATTTCAGTGTGGGTATACAAAGTTTTTCATAACACCAACCTTTTCACTTAATGTATACTGCTGATTATGGTTGCTTTCAAAGCCACAAACTGAGTGGAGTTCTTGCAGCAGAGATCCTGTGGCCTGCGAAGAGCCTCTGGGCTTTTATGGAGAAAGCATATTCCGTAAGGGGACCATGTTGGGTCTTTGATCCAAGTAGGATTGTACTGTAGTAATTCTTCCACACCTGAAGATGCTAATACCCTCTTCTCCTCTAAGCACAAGTTGGTCCACCAAAGGTTGCCCTGACACCTGGTCAGAAGGTCATCTCTATTGTACTGACAGCACCAGAGAAGTGGCAAAGAAATCCCAAAGATGACACTGTTTCTATGCAACAAATATACTCCAATCTGAAGTACAACGTGTCTGTGTATAACACTAAATCAAGAAGAATGGTGAGCCTGGCCTGGGATGGGGTCTATTCTCTGGGTCTCACTTTCTGTGCTCCCGCTGGCAAGGGTACTCTTGGTGCTTCTGTTCTCGTTTGACAATGTAGCAGCTGATACTGTTCAAAAGATATTACGCAAGAGAAAATGAGAGCTTAGGAGACTTCTGGCCTTTCCCTGCAGCAGTTCATAAAGCCACAGCTGGAGTGTAGGTCAACCCAGCATTTCACTTGACAAAGCTTTCTTCTCTTACACATCATCTGTCAGTCCCTTTCCAGGGATCTACACATTAGAATATGTAATATTCTATATAAGCATAGAATATACATATATACATATATATGCATATATATGCATATACATACATAAGAGAAGAACACTGAGCAAAGTTTAACAAGAACTCTACCTTGAGTTATTACTTAGAAGTGTTCCTAGAATTGGTCCATTACTATGCTTTGCTCAGCTAAATGAAAACATATTTTGGATACTATGCTGAAAAAAAAAAAAAAAAAAAAAAAACAAAGCTTATAGTGACAGGAAGGATCCAGTGGTATCTGGGCCTTTCACTTCTTCCCAGAGCTGTCCTGGGGAGGTCCTGGAATCTAATCTCTGTTTGCACTTTCCTGCCACAGTGGTCCCAATGTATCACCAACAGCACACTTGAGCTCAGCTGGCTGGAACCGAGCACACTGTATTGTGTCCATGTGGAGTCACTTGTCCCAGGGCCCCCTCGCCTCACTCTGCCTTCTCAGAAGCAATGCATCAGTACTTTGGAAGGTAAGCTGCAGGAGATTTTAGCTAGTTTCTGGAAAGAGAGCGGGGAAAAAACACACAGTTTAGGTCAAATCTACTTCTCTAAATGCGTTAAACTGTCTGGGACTCTGCCTTTGAACTTGGTCAGTATTAAGGAGGGTTGTCACAACATCTGGAAACTGTCAGCAAGGCCCAGGAGTCCACAGGCAACAATCCTCCCCAATTAACATCGCTTCCTACTGTGAGAAACAGAATTAAGGACTTTCACACCTGTTCCTTTTCCTTTATCCAGGTGTAGTCACTCTAAGCAAGGCTTTCAGAACACCCAAGAACTAGACAACAGGAAGCGAAGCCTTGTCCCACAAAATCCCCCTTTCGGATACAAATCATAGGTGCCTTAAGTGTCCTTCAGACATCACCTGTCACTTGTCAGCCAGAGGCAGACATGGGATCGTGAGAATCTACAGTTGCTTCTCTCTGCCTCCTTTTGTTTTCTGAGCAAGGCTTCCAGGGGAGTGTAGTTTTGGATGCTTCTTTTAAAAGACCTGGAGTTATGAGCCTTGCATTTGTTTAATATGTCTGCTCTACAGAGAGAACTTCAACTGAAACCCTGAAAATGGAAGAAAAACAGACCCTCAAGGTCCCCTGCATCATTAGATGGTCTTCATCCCTTACCCTTCTGATCCTCCCTTCTAACAGATGCTCACAACCTCTTGCCTCGGGTGCTGGTTCTTTCCCCATCCCTGACCAAGAACCCACAGCCCTTAGCCAGTCAGGGCTGACACACACCTTTAATCCCAACACGTAGGATGAAGAGGCAGCTGAATCTCTCAGTTGAAGGCCAGCCTCGTCTATAAAGCAAGTTTGAGGACAGCCTAGGCTAAGCAGAAAAACCCTGCTTGAAAAAAAAAAAAAAAAAAAAAAAGAACCCACAGCCCCAGCCCTACCCCTGCCCTCCTGCCCTACCTCCACCCCATTGCTTTCCTCATCCTTTCAAGGTGAAGTAGTCCCCAGGAAAAGGAGAGAGTTGAAAACACTTATGAACAGTAAACAGCTTTACTTCTGAATCTCACTTTATCATGCCATCTCTTTGACAATTAGGGAAGTTCTCTACCCTAATATAAATAAAATTCAAATGCCAAGCAAGCAGGAAAGGGACACAAAGCAGGCTGGAGGAATCAATTTTGTATCTGGAATATGTGCTATGTTTCCTAACAGTTTGATCGGTGCCAAATGGTAGGAATGCTTTTCCAATGGAGCTCATTTACTCATCTGGCAGAGCTAAGACATCAAAGAACAGCTCAACCAGCTCTTCCCTGTAAGAACATGGAGCCCATTTCCTCCTTACCAGTGCAGCAAAGGGGACAGGCATAGGCACACCACTTCTAGTGTTGGTTTCCCATAATATTCCACCCAATCAATCACCAGAGATATCTTCCAAGACACTGCTTTCTTTATTTACAAAAAATCAATTTTATCTCTTCAAGGACTATGCCTGCTCCTCAAATGAAAATGAAATGTGTGAAATTTATTATAGCAAATGTGCTGATACACACTAAGTACCAGCAATTGTCATCATCTTCTTAGGCAGGATAAGCCTGGTCTAGTGACTCCTGGCATTGTTTGTAGTCTAATGGTGCAGTCAAGGGCTATGCTGAGGGCTGATCTGCCATCCAAAGCAGAATGGGTCCCATCCCCAACAATCGCAGATTTGCTTCACAGCCTCGGCATATTTCTGTGTAGGCAGATGAGCACTCTCTGGGGCCTATCGAGTGGGTAGAAGAGTCTTCAAGGGATGCCCATGATGGATTTTCCCACTGGTGTGGTTGATCACTATCATAATACATCTGTTTCCCATCTATAGATGGTAGTCAGTGGGATGGATGCTTTGCTGTTTTCTCTCCGTCAGACAGCAAGTGCACCGAACATCCACATGGATTAGAATGCTCCTTTGATACACTGGCTGATTTTATTAGTATATAAGGAATGTTCTAGAGTTTTTGGTTGGTGCTAAATGTGCATGGTGTGTGTGTGTGTGTGTGTGTGTGTGTGTGTGTGTGTGTGTGTGTGTTTCTCCAGCAATTCTCTGGTGAAACAGAACCAACAGGATAAATACAGGAGAGATGTCAAGGAACCAGCTCTTGTCATTGTGAAAGCTAGAAAGCACAAACTTTGTACGGTAGGCATTGAGCTAGAGACCCTAGTGACTACTGGCATTGTAGTTCATCCCCAAAGGCATGCATTAATAGAATTCCCACTTCTTAAGCTTTATCAGTCTCTTTTTCTTAAGAGCATCAGTTGAGTAGATGAGAATCATCTACATTATAGAGAGCAATTTTCTTTGCTTGGGAATCTACTCATTAAAATGTTAAATCTCATCTAAAAACTATGCATCTAAAGAAGCATCTATAATGGTGTTTAGCAAATATCCATAGCCTTCACACATTGACATATAAAATTAACCAGCCCAACTTCCAAGTAGTTCCAACAAGCTTCACAAATTTGTCACATACAATGGAGCCTGCACCAGCTCTGTGGTCTGTTCTGCTGTGGGCCAGGGTATTCCTCTTAAAACTCTTCACTAAGCCTTTTCATTATTGGATAGACATTTCACTCTAAATGGGCCTACAGCACAGCAAAACTAAGAATGAGTTATCACCCTCCCATAATTATCCCTAAGTTTTAGCCCTACCCATCAGTACAAGACATGAAACACAAAAGTAAGATGGAAGAGATTGAAATCTTTTGTTTTGAATTAAAATTTTTAATCTTTTTTGTCACTTTCATATAGAAGCACTGTATTTACATGTTTAACCCTTCCTTCTTCCCTTCCAACACTCCTTCTGTGTCCTACCCCCACTACTTCTCAAATTCGTTACCTCATTTTCTTGTTATTCATTCTCTCTCTCTCTCTCTCTCTCTCTCTCTCTCTCTCACACACACACACACACACACACACACACACAACCAGCTGAGTCAGTTTAGTGTTGTTTCTGTGTAGACATATTCAGAGCTGACTATTTGAGAATAGATAAGCTATCAGGGTCCTTGTCCCTAAGACTGACTATCCCTCTCTCAACCCCCATTAATTATTTGTAGCTCTTTATCTGTGGGTGGGGTCTTATAACATTTCCATCTACATTGCCATGTCAACAGGTCTTTTTTAGGTGGCCATGCTTTTAGATTCCATGGTTGTAGCTTCCTTGTCATATACAGAAGACACTATCTCACAGGAGGAGTCATCCTGGTCCTCTGGCTATCTCTATTTTGTCCAGTTGTGGGTTTCTGTAATGGTCTTTGCTGCAAAAAGCAAGCTTATTTGATGAGGGAGGGGCAGGAGCCATGCTTACCTTTTGATACAAGGATACAGATACATATTTGGAATGCATAGAAATTATATTGGTTTAGGAAACTAGCAGTAGTAGGTTCTTCTCTAGGGCTCATTACCTCACCTAGTTAACTAGGTGAGGTTTATAGTACCAAACATGAATTTCCTCCAGTTGAGACAATGTTGGGTCAAATTAGATGGTTGTTGGTTACCCCCAAGATGGAAGAGCCATCCTTGAGTATATGATGTCATGCTGATCATTGTTGCAGTCTGCAGGCTTTGTAGTAGGGCAAGACTATTGATTGCTTTTCTCTCTTGGAAGCTTGCACTGCAGCTTTAAATACTGAGAATGGGTTCTCAGGAAAAAGGTTAATAGGTCAAAACCAGCTTAATTCCTGTAGTTTCTGTGTCCAAAATGTGTGGTATCTTCAGCAATAGGGTCTTCCCTTCAAGTTCTGGAAAGTAACCAAGGGCAATGATAATACTTTGTAATTTTGAGGAATTTTTTAGACTCTTCTTCAAAGGGAGGTTTCCCATCCGGGCACAAGGGATTTCATTAAAGAAGGTGCTGCTGTTTGGTTTGAAGAACTGTGAGTTCCTAGGCTGATGAATCCACTGATTTTCACATACAGGAACCAGGATGAGTGTCAGAGCATGACATAAGATTTTGGAATGCCCAGTAACATATTATTAATGTAGCCTTACTGTAAACATGGGGGTAGTTTAGACAGTGTTGTAATTTAAGAAGAGCTGTGTGCGAGACAAAGACACCATGCAACAGGGTTTAAGCAGAGAAGCAGAGGGGACTTTTATTAGGGAAAGGGATCCTAAAAATGGGAAAGTGAAGAGGGAGCCTGGTCTCCAGAGAAAGGAGAAGCTGGGGAGAGGCAGAAGGAAAGAGGGGGAGAGAGAGGAAATAGAATGGGGAGAGTAGGGAAGCAGAGGAAGAGAGATAGAGGGAGAGAGGGAGGGGGAGAGGGGAAATAAGCAGGGCCCTTTTAAAAGGGAACAGGTGCTCTTAGTGACTGCAGCTGAGGGTATATCCTGTCAGAACCCCAAGAACAGGCCAGTGCAGATGTCTGAATACCAACAGTCAGTGCCTTGAAAACTTCATTGTCAGAATGATGGCCAATTCTGAGACTCCCTGACATTAGCTGAAGCTTCTCAGTGTACAGATGAGAAACACAACTGCCCAGTCCTGACCCATGATTTTTCTTTAACAGATCAAAAGTCAGCACTGAAGGTTAAGGTCATCTTCTGGTATGTCTTACCCACATCTGTTATCATATTTCTTTTTTCTGTGATGGGCTACTCAGTTTACCGATACATCCACGTTGGCAAACAAAAGCACCCATCAAATCTGGTGAGTACTTGACATGGTGGAAGGCTGTAATGACAACAGGAAGAGAGACGGGGGTGGCTTCACATTAGAGCAGAGTGCCCTTAAGCCACTGACAAATCTAAAACTCATTCTGAGCTGAGAGTAACTGAGTAAGAGAGCTCTTACATAGCATGTGTGCTGTCCTGGGTGTGACCCCTGTACCCCCAAACCAAACAAAAAGCAGCTTTTATACTGAATTCATTCACAACTATACCAACACCAAAGCTTCCTCAAGTTTGAGACACTTTTATAATTAATGAGTGCTTAAGATAAGGTTGTGGAATAAACAGATAATTCAACTCATGATCACTCCATCTTTCTCAAAATCCAAGCCTTGTTAGAGACAACATGTGAAGGTTAAACAAACAAAAAAAAAATTTTTGAGGACTCATGGGGTACAAAGAAACCCTGCAGTCTTTAATATGGGGGGATCAGTTCTCATGTACAAGGTATGAAAGTAAGATCTAGTATATTAACTACAAGCAGAAAATGTAGCCGAGCAAGGGAAGGCAGAAGTTATTATATGACCGCCTATTGTGTCCTCCACGAAGAGCTACACTGGAGATCAGGCACCAGGCTGTGTAATGGGAGTATATGGCATTCTTCTCAAAGTCGAACTTTATTTTGTCTGCAGAGAATTTTCCGTAAGGTTCTAAATTGCAATGTTTTAGATCTTCTTCTGGAAAATAAATAAAGCTAGTTCTAGTAAAGCAAATGCAGCTGAGATGCCGTCCAGGGAAGAAAAGGTGAGAGTCTCAAAAAGGAAAATGGGTCTTGGGGACAGGGATTTGGAACGTGGAATCTAAACACACTTAGGACACACATGACCAGGGCTGAAGCACATACTGCAAGAGGAAGCAAGTTGAAGGAACGAATGAGATGTTATGAGCCCATCTGGTGAAAAGACCCGATGGGCTCAGCAGTTAAATGAAAGCATGTCGTGGGTGACAGGAAGATTGTACCTTGTCGCTGATGCTTCCCTCAATAACAGGCACTTTCCACATACCCCAAAGTAGAACAAAGGTTATGTCTGTGTTGCTCTGGATGGAGCCTAGGGCCTTGCACATGCAGACATGTCCCACCCCTTAGCTGTGTCTCCAAGTAATTCTTTATCTTTTCTTCTGAGACAGGGTCTGGTTAAATTGCTTTGGATGTCCTTTCCTCTCTTAGACTCCAGAGTAGCTGGGGTTATCGGGGCCTTATTGATTTTCTTTATTCTTGTGTATCCTTGACATGGTTTAGATTTTTACAAACCTCTCACAAACTAGCAGATGAATTGCCTTATTTTTCCTTTCTGCCTTTTTCTAGCACAATTTGAACATTATATTCCATATCCATTCCCTTTCTGGTGCTGTAATGAAGTACTTTGATTGAATAAATTTTGGAGAGAGGGGATTGTTTCAGCTCATAGTTCCAGGTTACAGCCCAGCATGGGGACAGGGGAATGGTAGGATCTTGAAGGAGAGTATCACAGAGAACAATGATTTAATGATTCCAAGGCCCAGCCTGGGAAAAGATGCAGCCAGTGTTCAGGGTGTGTCCTCCCACTCCCTTAGCTTAATTAAGAAAATCCCTCACAGGCAAGTCCACAGGCCAACCTAGTCCAAACACAGACATTTCCTCATTGAGTTTCTCCTCAGGCGGCCCTGTACTGTGTCAAGGTGACAATAGACACTAAAGGTCATACTGCCTTTCTATATCCTATTCTTGTGCCAGTGTGCATTTCATATCCATAGCGTATCCAGGAAAGGGTTAGTAGTCTGGGCAGCCCCAGCTTCCGAACTACACACAGATGTACTTTCACTATTCTTATTCATCAGTTTTCATCTACCAGAGTACAGAATTGAGACGATTCTAGAACTTAATTGACTCCCGGCAGCCTTCCTTTCAGTCACACCCCTGAACCTCACACCAGACAAACACTCACCAGTGACGCAGTTCACTTCCGGTTGCATTTTGTGGTATAGGACGAACATAATTCCCTCTCCTGAGTTGGTCAGAGAGGATCTCACACTGGCTGGCGACCCCGGAAGTTCTAGCTAGCAGCTCTTTTCAATGTCTCTTTGAAGTGAAATCCATTCTCTTCTCTCTACAGATTTTGATTTATGAAAATGAAATTAAAAGATTCTTTGAGCCTACCGAAACAATTATGCTTAATTTTATCACCCTCAATATGTTGGATGATTCTAAAATTTCTCAAAAGGATATGAGCTTACTGGAAAAAAGCAGTGACATCTACTGCCTTAATGACCTTGAGCTCGGTGGGAGCCAGCAGCACCCTCTGGCAGAGGTGGAGGGACCACACTTGGGATACTCTTCACATTTGATGGACATTGTCTGTGATGCTGAGCAAAGCGACAGCAATGCTTGCCTAACTGAGTGCCAGTGGTTTAGCAGCACCATGCCCACAGGGGCGGCAGACACTGACCCTGAGTACAGTGTCCCAGCTGATCTTTACAGGGAAGCTGAAGACCACCAGTTCTGTGGCCAGGGAGAGGTACCCAGAACAGGGACATTATCTGAGCCACAGGTCGCTTTAGCAAACTTAGGCCCACCTCTTGAAGACCCACATGACCTGGGCCAGGGGCAAGCTGGCTCCGAAGAGGGAGCAGAGGAAGAGCCGTCCGCAACACTGGTGGATTGGGACCCTCAAACTGGCAAGCTGTGCATCCCTTCCTTCCCTAGCTTTGGCCAAGACCCTGTGGACTACGGACATGATGAGAGAGAGCAGCTCTGGGAGGATGGCCTTTTGTCCAAACTCTATGAGAACCTGGCACCTGACAAGTCAGGGGATGAAATTGAAAATTATCTCGTTCAATTTATGGAGGAATGGGGGTTACATGTACAAATGGAAAGCTAATCCCAGACTTTCGGTTGACTGACTTCTCCTGTGACGGGCCATGTGCCTGTCAACAGATGATTGAACCATCCCAGTGAGTGAACCCTGGAGTAGGTCAACCTGTGTTCCGATTCTCCAGCATCAGAAATGACTTTCCTGTCTCTGTTAATACTTGGCTTGGCTGGCCCTGCCTTCTCCAGGTGGTCGGCTTTTACAGGACCATCTTCCTGATCCACAGCGAATCCTGGAGCACAGGGATCGTCTGCAATACAGATCCCTGAGCTTTGTAATAGACAGAATAAACATTTCCAGGTTGGATGGGGACTTTTGTACAGCTATGTGAACCATGGTCAAAGTTGGTTATTTCTAACAAATATGTCTGTGCAGTTATTTTCTGGATTTTTACTGTACATATATAACACTATAAAATGTTTCACACAAGTCATTTATTTTATAAACACCCCATTTCTAGAATTTGTTGACTATGAGAATGTTAGAACACTTAAAAATACACCTATGCTACTAAGTGGATGAAGAGTGTTTCCCATATAAAGAGCTCAGCTCGCTGTTATGATAATCCATGTTCAGGCCAGCCTCCATGCTTCTGTCTTCTGTAAGAGGTGGCATTTTCCAGTCTTGAGCACTTTTGGAGTGTGAGCTTAAGTGGCTATTCTTTTGTAGTCAGGAAAATGTCTCTCAATAATTTAGTAGGCCTTTGTTGCCCAAAAGACCTGCCACATTTATAATAGAATACCATGCTTATTTTGGAAGATGTATTGTTAAAAATATATTTAACTAATTGTAAACTAGGGAATTTTCCACAGCTGAAGTACTGAATCATTAACTAGTTGACAGGGACAGGCAATGCGGCAAAGTGTCTTAGGAAAATGTATGAATGAATACTTCCTTGCCATATAATGGTAGAATCAGTAGTAAGTAAATACAGGACATAGAAAAGCAAGTTAAATAAATATTCAAGGAAGGGTTTACTGAAGGTTGACACTGTTCACTATGGAAACTGAAGTACATCATAAAACATCTTCCTGGTATCAAGTAACTACTCCCATCATCTTCCCCATTTAATTAAATTCTACATCATGCTGCATTAAACACGACAGACTGTATAAAGTTGAACCATGTAATACGATTGATGTTTCAGTGTTTTAGACCTACAGAAACATCAACATTTTATGTACTTGTTTAATTATGAACTCAGTCCACTGAGTATCTTTCAGGAAGACAGATATCATCCTATTTCCTTAGTCATATGCTTGGCAGAAGCAGACAGCTCTGGTAGGAAAGATGGATTCTGGGGTCATGGTCTTTTGCAATTATCCACAAATCCGAACAGTTTCTGATTTAATGGTTTAATTTAGAGCATAATCATATTAATCAGAGTGTTCTGTTTTTCTTGGTCTTTGTAGAAATGACTCTGGTGGCTTGGAAGAACAAATTTGTGATACAAACTGGAAATGAAGTTCAGGAGTAGGAGAGAATAGATTGTTTTTAAGAGCAAAAAGGAAAACAATTGATAGTTTGGCTTATTAATTTCACTCACAAAATATTTATTTATTTATTTATGAAGTACCTACTACATCCTTCAACATTCTCATCTGTGAAATACAAATCAAAACTTCCTTATCATTGTTTTTGCATATGAAAAGAGCTATGCTGCAGGAGGCAACTGAGCAGGGCAGTGCCTGGAATGGGGGCTGTGTGATCTCATCTTTATTCTCTGCTGATTCCCCTGCTCAGCAGCAGAGCCAGGAGCCATCTTGACTCCAGAATGAAGCAAATGTATGCCTTGCCTAACTTTGTTTTTCTCACCTGAAGGTACAATAGTAATTTACTTCCTACTCTGTGCCTTCACTGAAATCTTCCGTGTTGAACCACATTTTCTGTTTTTAAGAGAGGAATTTAATTCTGGGTTGTCTTTCTGTCTCTTGTCATTCTAAGCGCATCAGATGTATTCAGCATTTCAGTGTCTTGCAACATGTGTGCATACACATAGAGGGAGACAGAGAGACAGAGACAGGAAGAATCCCTGGCTTAGGATTCAATTTAGGATTTTCACTTTGCTCGTTGGATCAAAGGTATATGCGCTCTATAGAAACTGCATACTTCCAAGTCTGAGGGTTGATTGTTCTCTTGTCTAGTGGTATTTCATTGTTTCTGTTAATATTGAGGAGTCACAGCTCCCAGGCAGCCCTATGGTCATAAAGGGGAAACAACTCAGGGGTAGACTGAGTTGCCATGGTAGCTGGGTTAGCGGTGTTAAAATTTGAGAATCTCCTCAGGTCCTTATGTTGAAAAGTGGATGCCCAAGTTTGTGCTATTAAGAACAGACCATGGGCCTCAGAGGGGAGGGGCTTAGTGGGAGAGACTCAGGTCATTGGGGATATACCCTTGAAGGGGATTATGAGACCTATGCCTTCCAGGCTTTGTCTCCTAGTTTGTGCTGGGAACACTGATTTCCTTGTGACCTCTTGACCTCTATGCCACCCTCAAAGAGCCCAAATCCAAAAGGCTGTCTATTTGTTAGCTCAAACCCTCAGAATTGTGAGACAAAGAGCAACATCTCTTTACTTTGTGAATACCCTGTGCCAAGTAAATTATTATGACTATGTGAAACTAATACAACATGTTAAATTCATTTTCAGGTACATTTTCAATCTATGGTAGATTATCATATCTATACATTCAAATAAGCTTATGGCATATTTCTGGTGGGGAGAAAGTCACTACTTTTCAGATGTGGGAGGCAACTGTCTTGTATCCTTTCTTCTGTGGTCAGGCCCCAACACTTCCTCTCCATTGGGTCTCTCCCTGCGAAGTGTCAGGGTTCTTAACCAATGCTATTCAACTCATCACTCATAAAGCATTCATCACTGAGTCTATACTCACAGCTCATAACTTCTAAACATCAAAATGCCACCACTGGAGGTGGACATATGGCTCAATGATTAAGAGCACTGTCTGTTCTTCCAGAGGACCCAGGTTCAATTCCCAGCACCCACATGGTGTCTCACAACCACCTGTAACTCCAGTTTCAGGGAGAGGTCAGATGCCCTGTTCTGTCCACAGACATACAGGCAGGCAAGACACCCATGCACATAAAAAGTAAAATAAAGTAAATGTTTTCAACAAAAGGAAGAAAATTCCACCACTGGGAAACGAACAATGCCAAATGTCATATCTTGCCCATGGGATGAGAGTGGATAAGGGGAATTTGTCTCCTAGCAACATAAAAAAGAGCTAACATCTATGCTCAGCCCTAAGGAGACCAGTACAGCAAGGAAAAACTCTTTGTTCAGCCCAGAGCACAAGCCTGCCCAGTGTGATAAACATAATGAGAACATTAAACAGAGAGTTGATCTTCATGACTGGGTGCATTGGGTCATAAATCATATTCTCTCCGGCCCACACATTACCACCGCACATCTTCCAGATGAATTCAAGCTAAATTACCTTAGGATTGTTTTTCTCTTTTTCCTTCTTTGGTTCCTCACATTATATCAACCACAATCTACAGCTGTTTTTCAAAGCCTTTATTTTTTAAAAAGTGATAATAATAGTATGACTAAAGGTATTTTAATAATTTTTATTTTTATTATAGAAAATACATTAAAATATATGCATATATCACAGACCAACTAAAAATAGAATTGGTTTTAATTATTTGCAATTAAATTCCACACATTTAACCTTGGTTGAATGTATTAAGACAGAAAAACTGTTCTCATTTTAAGACCATTTTGTTCACCAGGGGACATTGGCAATGTCTGAAAATGTTTTTGTTTTGTTTTTGTTCTTTGAGACCAGAGTCTCACAATGCAGTCCAAGTTTCCTGGAACTAGGTTTGGAACCCAAGATGCTGTTGGAAGTGTGGCCTCAAGTGATCCTCATGCCACGGGCTCCGTGAGTGGCAGGCCCTAGAGGCATGCATCATCACACCTGGCTTGAAGACATGCTTTTTTTATTGCCATGCCTCAGAGGGAGACTTCTAATGGCTCTTAATGGAGACAGGATATAGGAATATTCTAAATATCCTATTCTGCACACAGAAGCCTCTATATTAAGAATTATCCAGTCCAAATTAGTCCCCTCTGCAGAACTTTCCATACACTTTCTTGCATATATTCTCCCAAATGGAGATCATCTTGAATTATTCTGTAACTTGATTCTTTCACCTCCTGCTTTAAAAAAAAAAAAAGTCTAATGAACTATTTTATTTTAACTATTTTACTAGTTTGATGTACCAGTATTATTTATAGCAGAATTTAACAATATAATGGGAATTACTTTCTCTGAGCATAATACTTTAGTTTTGTAACATCAAAATCAATGACCTAAAATTGGAGATATTAAGAGTCCTTTATAAACCAAGCATAGTAGCTATACCTGTAATCACAGCACTTGGGAGGTGGTATGGAAGGATCAGAAGTTCAGGGCTAGCCTTAGCTATGTGAACTTGAAACCAGCCTTGACTATATGAGACCTTTTCTCAAAAAGTCTGGTGGGGGAAGGTCCTTTATGATTCCATAAGGATTCAGCTTGACCTGGCTGCAACAGTTCTGAGCTGTAACTGCCTGGAGTAACCCTGGTTGGGTTTACCAGAGTTTCCAAATATATCATAAAGAAGGAAGCCAACAATGTATCTGGTACTTTTTCCTGGGACAAAAACACCTGACAGGAAGCAACTTGACCAAAGAAGATTTTATCTTAGCTTACCATTCACGTCAGAGGAGACATGGCACTGGGGTTCTAACCAGGGCGATGAGAGCTGTGGTGTGGCCTGTTACACCTCCACTGATCAGGAAGCCTGACAAGTTGTCATCCTTTAGTCCACTCCTACAGCCCATGTCTGCCTGCCAGGGCTCATGTTCAAAAGTTTCATAACTTCCCAAAACAGCATCATATTCAGGAACTAACTGTTCACATGCATGAGCCATGAGCCTTCTGGGGACATTTTACATTCCAATCATAACAAGCAGTGTATGGAACTTAATGACTAGACCCTGGTTCAGCCTACACCTCATGTACCTTGTCCTTGAAACTTGCTTAAGCTAAAGCAGGCTCATTCCAGCTTGGATGAAGTCACCTTTGTCTACCAAACCCCTTACTTCTTATCCAAACACCCAGATCTACTGTTCTTGCTGCTACCCAGGACCATGATTCTGTCAGTCAGTAAGTCCCTCGTTGTCGGTTACAGTGTCAATCCTGAATCTGCCT